ATGATTATGAGATGCGTTTCCTCCATCTAAGACTAATGAGACTCCCGTTTCACCAAAAGGATAAGGAGACCTAGCACACTATCAGTAGTCCAAAGGAGTTTTGAAAGTCTTACATTTGAACTGATACAAGATTTTGATTGCCACCTAGTGGAAGAGAATAACAAGTGAACCTGAGGATAAGCAATCTAAAATTATCAAATGTTGTTTTCTATACGCTGACAGCCAGGTAGTTTCCCAAAGTGTGGATATATCTAAGATGATTTTAGATAGCACAGGATGAATGCTATTCTAAGTATTTAGTATTTTTTGCAATGCATATTAGAATAAAGTATAAACCATACTTCAAATAATCACTTCACAAATGTGAAGATGAGGCCAAATTAACCTTAATTTTAAAAATTAAAATTTAAAAAAATTACCTTAAAATAAAATATTGCACAAGTGGTGATGTAATATCACCAGTCATACAGTGACTCTAAAGTGACTGAAGTTTTGGAAGTAGTTGTCTAAGCTGGTTTTCTAATGAAGTTAACTTGTCCCTCAGTGTGTCTGAGTTTTATTTATACATACAAAGTGGAGCATAAGAGTATGTATCAGTAACACCTTAATAAAAAATTAAGTGAAGTAACTCCTATTTTAATAGAAATAACAATGTTTTAAGGCGCTCCTACTTTTTTCTCATCAAATACTTAGAGTCTGTTTCTTTTTTTCAAAATTATTCAACTATCCTATATTGAGGGGAATTTAGGTTGCTTCCATTTCCTTTGCAATTCTAAGTATCTTTAAAGATGTATTTTTCTGCACATATGTGGGCACTTTGCTCTCACTTCAAAATGGCATCAGTCTTCACTCCTACCCTCCGACTTAATCAACTTGAATTCCTTTTAGAGACCTCTTTATCCTACTCTTTTGTCAACACTAACAATTAGCAATTTTAATGCTTTTTACAACCAGTGGACAAAAATAACATACTTCATTGTTTTGATGTCTATTTTCTATGTTACTAGAGGATAGTGTCATTTTATGTTTATTAATAAGTTTTATTTTTTCCTTCAATGAATTGATTCAATTTTACTGTCAATTTCCTTTGGGTTTACATGTTTTTAGTTGTTAATTTATAGGGTTTTTTTTAGAGTTCTTTATATATTATGGATATTAATCTTTTGTTCTTTGCTTAAGTTGCAAATAACTTCTCTCAGTTGGCTGCCTTTTAATGTTGTTTATGGTTTCTTTAGTTATACCAAGTTTTAAGTATTTATCTGTTAATCATTTATTTATAAGATAAATTTGTTTATCTAGGGTCCGTTAATCTTTTCTTCATGGCTTTAGGATTGGGGCTTTCCTTAAAAGTCCTACCCTGACTGAACATTAAAAAATGTTTTTCATTATTTATTTTCTAATAATTTATAGATTTTAAAAGCATTTAGATCTTTGAACCATCTGGCATGTTTGTGCACGTTGTGATATACCTTCTTCCCCCTAAAACTGATAGCCAGTTGTCCTAACACCATTTTCCCCCACAAATTACAGTTGCCATCATTATTATAAACTAAGTTCCTATTTATACAGGATATACTTCAGGACTCTGTTTCCTTACCATTTGGTTATTCCTACATTAATACCACATTTATTATTATTATATCTTTGAAATCTTTGTTGTTTATCTCCATATAATAGAAGGTTCTTCTCTCATTATTCTTCTATTTCAAAATGTTCTTGGCTATTCTTGTGTATTTACTCCAGATAAATTTTAGAATCAGCATTCTAAAATGCTGAAATGTCAAAAAGATGACATTCATATATTATGGATATTAATCTTTTGTTCTTTGCTTAAGTTGCAAATAATTTCTGCTGAAATGTCAGAGAGAGATTAATTTGGGGAAGAAATAATCTTTTTAATACTGAGTCTTTTCAACCAGAAATATAAACTGTTTCTCTACATATTCAATATTTGAATGTCTCTTTCTAAAGTTTCAGTTTTCTTAAGTCCTATATATTTTTTGATAATTTGTTCTTAAGTACCTCAGTTTTTAGTAATGCAAATTATATCCTTTTTTATTATTTCCTAATTTATTATTGCTGTTGTATAGGGAAGCTATTGGGTTTTTTTTGTATATTTATTTTCTAATTTACCACCTTTAAACTCTTTCATAAGCCACATTTTTTAAGGTGCTGGTCTTTGATGTTCTGTATAATCATATCCTCGAAAATGCCATTTGTCTCTTTTTGTGTTGAAATATACCTCTTCTTAGTATAATGACTAGGTACTGCAGGCTTGTTTAATAATAACAATAGTATCAACTCAGTTTGTCTCAATCCTGACTTTAACCAAATGCTTCTAATGCTTCACTATTAAGTATAACATTTGCTGTAGGTTTCTGATGGAAACTTATAAAATTAAGGATGTCTCCTTCTCTATTTTACTTAAAAGGTGTTTTTCTTTTCCCCAGTCATGAAAAGGTATTGCATTTTATCAAGTGCTTCTCTTTTTTTTTTTTCTTTTTTAGGGGCTGTTTCTTTAAACAGAAATTATTTCACAAGCCAATTAACATTCAATAGTGCTAAGTCCCTATAACTATTTTTCTTCCTTAAAGCATGCTTACCTAGTTAGTCTTCCCATGATTGTAAATAGCTGATTCCCTCTCATTTTGACAAGTTTCATTATAGAAAATATTTTTCCATTTAACCTACACGGTTAAATAAATTCTTAGAGAACTGTTTGAAGTCCTGTCAACTTATTGCAATGGAATGCACTTTAATGACCTATGTTCTGTTGTCACAGTGGTCAGTTATTTATCATAGGATTTAGAGGTTTCAAGAAAATCCTGAGCATTCAATCAACATTCATTAGTTCCTACTCACTGATGTTGGAATACATAAGTAAAAATGACCAGATTCATTTAATTATCTTCTCTGATGGTCACATAAATGACCATAAAAATGACAATGATAAATTTCTTGTGTGATAATTTTCACATTGCCACCTCCAGCTTCAGGAAAGACTAAAAAACTTATTGTCTGGAAAATGGAAACAGGTTATCAAGACTAGTTTAATCCATTCCTCCTTGATCTCCTGGAGTGGAACCTACTGCCACACTTTAAGAAAATTAGGATTCTGTTGGTAAGGAATAGGAGCTGTTGAAGAGTTGTTGGGTATTTACCTCCCAGGATCTGTCACACTTCCACCTCAAGCACTGTTTCTCTCTGAGGAGGCCACCACTCTTACAGTTTCCTGTTTATTCCCTTAGTCATTCATACATATTGAATTGTATGTAATTTATTAATTTTTAACTCAAATGGTGGTATACTATACAAACTGCTCTGCCCTTCACTTTTTTCACTCAACAAAATAAATTTAAGACTTTGCTCCATTTTGATATGTAATAAAGCCACTTCTTTCTTTTTAATGGGTGAAAAATACTCCATTGTAGCAATGTGCCATAGTTTATTTATCCAGTCCTGCAATAAAAGACATTTTGGTTGTTTTAAATCTTTTGCTATTATAAAAAATACTGCATTCAACAACCTTGTACATATTTATTTGACACTGTGAATCAATGCTTAGAAATAAAATTCCATATAAACTTTGGAATTGGCTGCTGGCATTTTTGGTTGGGGGAGATTAGGTTAAATTTATGGATTAAAATTTAAAGGGCATGACTTTTTATTTTAGAGTCTTCACACAGAGAGCAGAATATACCTTTTCTTTACATACTATATTTTACTAACTCTAATATACATATTTAAACATTTCTAAAATGTGAATCTATCTTATAAACCAGATCATCTTTTGATCACTGTCAGCCAGGTGACAGTCATGAAAGTAACCATTCCTGGTGGCATGACAGGTAACTGTCATCCGTGGTCATTTCAAACGATTTAAGGACCATTTAAAAAGAAATGTGAGTCATAGTATTAGGACACCTTTTGTTGTGACACCTTATGGTAAGATCAAGAAAGTGCAACCATTAAACCTATATGAAAAGTCTCAGTGATTTGGAATAAAATTCTTTCAAGAAATACTACATTATCAGTGTTTTTTTTCATGGCACTAAGGACAATTCTGTGTAGGGGAAAAAACACTGATTTTGGTAACTCCAAGACAAAAAGTCTTCAGAAGATCACATTGTAAATGTCAGTACTATCTTAACTGATATATTTTGTTTATATTTCCATTTTTCTAATTGCACAAGAGATACACGATAAAATACCAAGTAAGTCCAAGAGTTCTTTCAGTAAAAACAAAAAAAATTCAAGTCCTAAGAGATTATTGCATCAGAAGTACTGGCAGAAGTTTATTTTAGTGTTCTATTAAAAAAAGAACAGTACAAATCATAATCAGCATCTCAGATGAGAAGGAATACTCTAAATCTTATTTTAGGTCCCTCAGTATTTTAAAGTGTCTCTTATATAGATTTTGCACATTCTTAAGGTTATTCCTATATATTTTATCTTTTCTTCCATTGTATTTTCTCATTAAAATACTATTTATTTTTGCCTGTTCTGTAAACAGCTGCTTTACTGAATTCTCTTACTATTTATAATAATTTTTAAGTGTATTCTTTTGGGTTTTCCAAGTATGCAATGAAATGAAATAAATTTCAAGCTCCTATTATCTTAAGCTATGTGCTTGAATTTAAGCTAAACAAAGGTAAAGATTGTGTGTTATTTTTACTGTTTCATCCCCAGCACCTAGCATATTACCATTCACAAAGCAGGTAATCAATAAACATTGGTTAAATGAATTATATGAATGTTTCCTACTTTTTAAAACTTACCTCAAGCCCTCCCCAACAGAGGTGCTGAATTTAGTCAAAAAAGTCAAATATGAATGAGTAAATAGTATTCATATTTCTTCCTTCCCACATACAAACATACAGATTCTATAAGAAATCAGGTATTTTCTAATTGAAGCTATATATATGTTTGGTTGTTGGTAGTTCTATTTTAATAATTAAAAACCCTAAATGTGAAATAAGTGTTTTATGTTAGACACTTACCTTTTGGACCGTAGATCTGATGAATCATATTGAATATTCATAGGTCCAGGATTTATTTCAAGATCTACCTCAGGGATGAGAAGATGCCCAGAATTACTATCCATATTTGCCATTTTTCTCAGACTCTAAGCACTGAAGAAGACAGTAGTACATAAATCAGAAAAGAAAAATAATTTGAAGTTTAAAAATTATCTTACTGTTAAGTAATACATTTCCATGCATTAGAAATAGGAAATATACAGGAATTTGCTGATAATACCTTAATGAGGTACGTGTGTAAAATATTTATTTTATCAGAAACTTGCTAAGTTGAAATGGAATTATTGTTTATTTTTCAGCTTAATAAAAAATATAAGTGGAGCAATCCATTTCCAGTAATAAACAGATTAGATGATTTGGACTCATTTTCCTGCAGAAAACAACTAAAAATATTGGATAAAAAATTAAAAACATCTTTCCCTTCTCCTACTTCCTATAACATAGCTAGGAGTACAAAGAGTTTTACCATCAGATATGGGGTTAACAAGAAGTAAAAGAGCCTCACTTCCTCATAAGGGAACTATAAACAAGTCTTCCTGAAACTGCCCCATAGCCTGTGTGCTTGCATGCATCTACGGAGGGGGAGGTGTTATATGCCATCAACAGCACTGTATGAGCATTTGCAAGGTCGTCAAAGAACACCTAAAGCTGTTAATGTACTTTAAGGTTAACTTGCTTGGTAGGACTTTTAGGTACTGGCAGAAGCAAAAATAAGCCTTTTCTGTGAGGAGACACCTTCATCTTAAGTCTCCAAAGACCTGCTAACAGTCTTTCAAGGACATCAAACAGTACACAGTCAAAAATAACCTAGTATGGGAAGAAATAAAGTATTATTAGTGAGAACCAGAATAAACAGCCGAAATAGATCCATAAGAACATCAGTGATACAGATTATCAGGATAAGATTATAAAGCTATTATGATTCCTATGTTTAATAAATAAGGGATAAAGTAGAAATTCTAAAAAATTAACCTACTATGTTTGAAAAGGACAAGAGTGAGGCCTCAAAATAGTAATAAAATAGCCAAAATTTAAAACTTAATGGATTGGTTTAAGAGTGGAAAAGAACATTAATGAACTAGAATATAAATGAGAAGCAACTATCCAGAATGTAGCAGAGAGTTAAAAAGAAAAACACAGAAAATGTGGAAACAGGGTAAGAGGCATGGGAAATAGGAGGTCTGATATGAATGTTGTTAGAAAGGCAGAGAGGAGATGGCAGAGGTAATATTTGAAGAGATGATGGCTGAGAATATGCCTTAATTCATAAAAGATAACAATCTACAGATTCAAGAAATTTAAGGAATCCAAACAGAAGTAATTAAACAATATATCATAGGGTTGGAAAAAAAGAATTAAAATTCTAGAACAAAGGGAAAAACAGTCAAGTGAGGGTCTTGGAATTAAAGTGTTCTAAGGTCCTTATAGTCCTTATACTACCCAGGTCAACATGACACTTTGATGAGATGCATGCTGTAATTTTATTTAATTCACGTAACAGAAAACATTGCATAACTCAAAATCTTACAGATGGGAAAAAGAGAATGATTTTTTTAAATTGACCTAAAAAATGCAAGAATGGATAAAAACATTAAAGTAGGACAAACAGCATAAAATAGCTAAGATCCTCCCATTCTTCTTAAACCTATGCTAATCAGGCTATCTTCCCCATCATTACACAGAAAACTGTTCTTGTTAGAATCCCAGTAACCTACACATTGGTAAACTCAGCCATCATTTCTCAGTCTTTAACTTATTTGCCCTATTAGAAATATTTGCCACTAGGGATCACTCTCCTCCTTAATAAACTAGATTCACTAGGTCTCCAGGTTTTCTCTGTATCTCCTTGGCCCCTCTTTCTCTGCCTCCTTTACTGTTTACTCCCAGACTTCTTAAAATCTCAGTCCCAAGGTTCAATCTTAGTCGTTTTCTCTATATATCCTCAATTTCTAGGTAACGTTATCCAATCTCATGGTTTTAATACTATCAGTTATGTTACACAATAGCCACTAGTCACACATGCTTAAATTTACATTAATTAAAATTAAATTTAAAAAAATTCAGTACCTGAGTCACACTGGCCACATATGAAGTGCTCAATAGCCACTCGTGGCTAGTGTCTAGCATGCTGCATTGTATAGACACAAAGCATTTACATCATTGCAAAAAGTTCTATCGATCTAGATAATGACAACTTGCACATTAATATTTCTAGCTTGAAACTTCTCTCCTGAATTTCAGACTTCTGGATCCAATTGCATATCTTTTTAAAAATTGAGATATAATTGATGTATAACTCAAACCTACATGTCTGAAACTGAAATTTTGATTTTTTTCTCCCAAATACCCTACTCATTGTTTTCCTCATTTCAATTGATGGCATCTCCATCCTTCTAGTTGCTCAGGCCACAGTCCTTGGAATCACCTCTTCTCAGTCTACATTCAGTCTATTAGGAAATCTTGCTGGCTTTTCCTTCAAATATATTCAGAATCTGGTCACCATCATTTACTATCAAGATTTCAACCAGAGTTACCTAACAGAGCTCCCTGTTTCCACCCTTATCCACTGAAGAGTCTCTCTCTGCCCAGCAGGTAGAGTTGTAGAGAGGTATTACGAATTTGTTCTCGCCCAAATGGTTGTTGCAAATGGGGGAGGCGTCATATGCACCTGGTGAGTAGAGACTAGGGATGGTACAAAACATCCTGTGATGTGCAGGACAGCTTCCTACAACAAAGGGTTAGCCCCAAATGTGAGGAGTTCTGAGGCTGAGCAACTGCTGTAAGGGGTAAAATAGGAGGTGGTGATAGGGAGGGACATGATGGGACCTTAGATGGTGATGGAAATTTTCTTTTTCTTCAACTTGATTCTGGTCACATGGCCATTTGTTTTATAATTATTCAATGTATTATACACTTTTATGTATGGATGTTACATTACACACATACATTCAAACAAGCAACTGCATAAAATGAAATAAACAGGTTTTAACATTTTAAGGCAAGTGCTTTCTTTACCTTTATTCCACACCCTGCAAATTACTATAATTATTCTCATTTTATAGACAAGGATACAAGGAACAAAGAAGTTAAGTAACTGATTATAAAGTTAGTGACAGAACTGGAACTCAAACCCAGGCAGTTTAAGACCCCTATACACTTTACCACTATGCTGTGCTCTTTCGTGTTCTTTGCCCTTTTACTCTTTTAACTTTCATCTTCTGTTTCTTGTAACCGCCCAGACTACTTAATAAATATAGTTACATTGATGCTGTATTGGTTTAACAGAGTCTTACATCTGCTGTTCTTATTTTTCTAAACGTATATTTATGGCAGAATAGAAGGAAAACAGGACTTTTGAGTCAGCAATTCTGTATCTGCCACTTACTACCTATGTAATCTAAGACTAACCTTTTAACCTCCAACAGTCTATTTTCTCATCTGCAAAAGTGAAATAACAACATCCGCCTCACTGGTGTGGTTGAGAATTAAGTGAGGTGATGCACATTATACTTAGTACCTTATAATGGGAGAATGAATGTTCAAATGTATTATTATTTCTCTCAAAATCAAAATGAAAATGCTTGTTTTTGTTTTTACATATGCAGCCTCTTGATGCTTTTCCTTACTTTTAAGTGGAAAATAATTCTTCAGCAATGAAGAGCTAGGCAAATATTGTCAAAAGGCCACAATTATAAGACACAGATGTTGGTAACATGTTTTATTCCCAAAATAGGTATACTTTTCTCCCTCTCTTTCCTTTTCATTACCCTCTTCAGATTTTCTGCTCCCCTGACCAACATTTAAGCCAAAGCTCTCATTAACTTAGTCCTACCAGAGACAGATAAATGCTAATGAAAAATCTTAACATAGTACCTTCTAACAGCAACTTTAAAAAAAAAAATTGAAACTCAAATACTACCATGTCCAGTCTAGAAGGGCTTTATTTCTGTATCTTATTAAGAGAGTATGAAGGTAAAGATGACTATTTTAAGATGAAACAACTAAAATAATGAGTATTAGTTAAATTCTGAAAAATATACAGTAATTCAACAAGGTCTCAATGATTCTACAATGCAGAGGTACCGAGGAAAATAGAAAAAAATATTTTTAAAAAAACCATGGTCCCTATCTTCAGTAAACTTAAAAAATTTTATAATTTATGAAACCCAGATGTCAGATAACTTGTCTCAAATCACTTTAATAAAACTTGGCAAGATGCTAATAACCACTTCCGATTTTCAGTTCATCAGTTTCACTTTAAGTTGAAATCTATACCAATTGCTGGTCTTAGCTCTCAAGTTAGGTTTGTAACGGATCAGTGCAAGATTTACTCTTTTAAAGAAAAAGCTTAGTTGACTGTCTGAATCACAGATTCATACAATATAATTCAAGTTTGGAGCATCAGTGTACATTATTCAATGGTAATTGTAATTGTTATTAAATCTCATTAGGATATAAATAAGTGAGATAAAGTAATTTCATCAAAACAGAGTTGATTCAGAAGCAAAAACAGATGGTTGATATTTCAGTTCCTTCCGTTACATAACAATAATTAATAATTCAGCTGGTTTGGTCTTACATTCTAAAACTAAAAACAGGATTTTTCAAGATTACTTTTACCTACTAATTTACAAAGCTAACATTAATATTACATTTCCTTAACTTAAAACTGTAAATTCAACTAATTAACTTGAGAAATTGTTCCCTGGATGTAATGAGTGAAAATACTCTGTATAAAATATAACTGAAAAATACATTTTGAATAAAGGTGGGCACAGCATAGGAGTTAAAAGCTTGGGAAAGAAGATGTTGTAGAGAAGCTATGTTGTATATTGGCTTGGTATGATTTCAAATCTACCCGTATACAATTAAAGTTGTTTTAATCTACCTGTTTATAACAAAGACAAAAAAAGTTGTTTTTAAAATAAAGCTCTTTGATAAAAGTACGAAGTAAATTGTGCCAACATGTCATCATCTCATCTCTTCTCACCCAGTAAGAATTCAGTAGCTCAGCTTGCTGAGGGGCCCCACTGGGGGCTTAGCTATAAAAAACATACAAAGAAACAACTAGAGCAAGGGGACATTTAGGCTAT